TTAAATCACAATTTTCCTGTGGCATATGTGGCTCAGCAGAGGGTATAAATTACCCAAAACCTATTCTTAAAAATGAAAACCAGAACGTCACGTTTATACGTAATTCAGCAGTCTAATCTGACTTCAAAATTGTACATAATAACTTGTAGCTCATTTGTAGCAATTTGCCATTGAAAATGAAATTTTAATCGGGGCATTCTATTGTTTGTACCCTATCACATAAAAAATAATAAAGCTAGCCGTGAATCGAACGCGGAACCGCTAGAGTGGCTATATTTTAAAAATATAAGTCTAATAACACCGCTATCAAAAATAAACTTTCCCGGAGATACGAATGAATTTCCAAAAATCAAATCTAAAATAATTAGTATAAATAAATTATACATACATTACGTGCGTGAGCGTAAGTGGGTGTGGGATAAAGAGATATATTGCTTAAATAATTCGTACATCTTTCCGCAAATAATAATACATACTAGTTAAATTAAAAATTATGTAGTACATAATTTGAAAAAGTATATGTAAAATGTAAAATATAACATGTACGGCGCTTGTAACGACACTTCTGTACTACCGACAAGTAATGAGGGTTTAGCCTAATCGAAGCATGTGAAAATACTTTTTAAACGCTTGTCTTTTTGACTTCTTTATTTAACGCAATTTTGAGGACTACACACTTCCCCATACAATGGAAACTTTCTTACATTAAAATGATCCCAAAGCCCCATAAAAATTTAAGCTCCCCATCGTCTTATCGTCCTGCAGGAGTTTGTTACCCGTTCCTTCTAAATTATTCGAAAAATTAATTTACAAAAGAATTATCTCTATTGCTACTTCGAACAACATCTTACCAGACCATCAATTTGGCTTTCGAACCCATCATTCCACCACTCATCAACTTCACAGAGTGATTGATTTCATTACTTCGTGTCTCGAGCAGAAACTGTACGCGACTGGAGTGTTTCTAGATGTTTCTCAGGCCTTCGACAAAGTATGGCATGAGGGATTATTATACAAATTAAAATTATTTTTACCCCAGACCTATTATCTGATTATACAATCATACCTTAAAGAGAGATTTTTCTCAGTAAACCAGGATACGGAGACTTCTGGGATGGAAAAAGTGCTTGCAGGTGTGCCACAAGGGTCAATACTCCGCTGTTGCACACAATTTTTACTTCTGATATGCCCACAAATGAGAATACACTCACCGCCACATACACAGATGACACCGCCATATTAACAAGCCATCTCTCTTCTACACAAGCTTCACTCATGTTACAAAACCACATATTAACAATTGAAAAATGGAGCAATCTTTGGAAAATAAAGTTTAATCCCTCAAAGTCACAACATATCACCTTTAAACTCCGTCGTGAGACTTGTCCTAGCATATACTTATACAATGAACCTGTTCCTCACTCCGACAAAGTTAACTATTTAGGACTTACATTTGATAGAAGACTAACTTGGAATCCGCACACACGATTAAAAAAACAGACACTGAACAAACGATTTAAAATTCTTTATTACCTACTCAACCGAAAATCAAAATTACCATTAAAATCATAACTTTCGACATACACATACTTACTCAAACGTATTTGGATGTACGGGTGCCAAGTTTATGGATCGGCGAAGTATTCCAATATTCAAAGATTGCAAAGTTTTCAATCCAAAATTTTAAGTCTAATTGTTTCTGCCCCTTTTTATGTAAACAATAATACACTTCACAGAGATCTTCAAATCCCAACAGTTTTTTCATCCATCAAAACATATGACAGACGTTTTCATAGTAAATTACAAAATCACACCAACACACAAATACGATTACTCCATTCCCCACAATTACCACGTAAACGTCTGAAAAGAATATGGATAAGAGACCTCTTAAATGATTAATATCATTTCATTTATCCAGAGCGGCTGCCAATGGGTAGCTTTCTCTATAACGCCCATAATGCTAAACACATAATCTGAAATCCAATCTGCTGGTTGTATATAATACATGTAATAAATGAAGTTAAAAAAAAATAAATGCTTGTAATTAATATGGAAAAAAGATTCTGTGAAGAAAAAACGATTGTATCATAAAAATTGCAAATATTAAATGTGAATTATAATATGGCAATATTTTTATCAAAACAACAAAGCAAAGAATTGAAACGATTAAAAGAGAAGCGACCTGAAGGATGAGCGAGTCTGTATTTCTTTGTTCTTATACGTTCAACTTTCTCATCTCACGTTGAATGTTCATTTGACACCGAACGAGAGAAACAACGACACCTGTCGTTCGATAATCATGCACGACTTTACCGCAGTTGATTAACTCGCATACCGTTTGAGGAAACATGACATTCATTCTGATGCTCCCGTGGACTCGTTTCGCACATACTTCCAGGACTGAGAATCCTAAAAATTCAAGTTTGCTGCAAGTTAAGTGGAAACGTGAAACCCACTCTTCAATATACTAGGACTCTTCACTACAGTTTAACTAATCATTTACAAAGCAACATGAACCATTTCGATGTATAAATCAAGAACGTACTTTTTTTTGCTTTTATGAAATATATTTGTAAAAATGAAATGTAATTAATAATGAATTTGTTAACAAAAATTAATAAAAATTTAAATAATATTAAAAACACATATACGCAGTAAAAAGAAATATTTAAAGCAAAATGTGCTTGGTTTACATACGTATATATATATATACTTTCTTCTTTATTTATGAAATATACTTGGTCTTTTGTTCACAATTGAGATTTCCTCCGGTGTGAGAAACTGATGATCTGACCATCCTCGATGGTTTAGTCTGTCAGACGCATTTTGGCATTTCGCTATCATAAGTGTATCTTTAATTATTAACAATGTTGTAGAATTATTTTGGCATGTTTGAGAATAAGATACGTAATTTTTAAATAAGTATTATAGATAAAAGTCACAAGTGTCTTTCACGCATACATAAACTGCCAAATGCTTTTGAACGTTGTAAATAAACATAACTAACTTTCTCTTACCCTTTTGAACTGCGATGATGAACATCACATTCCCGATGATGTTGGTCTGGCTATGGGTTGTACTTTGTTTAGATAACATTTAACGAGAGTACTCCTGTAGAAGGTTTTAGTATATGGCTGTGTAGTCCTGTGAAGATAGCGAAATGGCGAAACGCGTCTGACAACGACTCAGGTATAGGATAGGCAAATCAAAATGGTTGGCAACCATCTAGATGCAATTTTTTTAAAAATAATGTAACTATTAAAATTTAAAAAATTATACACTATCCGTGGTCTGTTCCCGGTTGCAGAATAAGCAGTGTTTTTTGAGACCGTCTTCTTAATACCACTCATGCAACAATAAAACATAAGTAAAAATTCATGTTAATTTGTTTATCCTTTTGCTCATAAATTCACAACAAAATTAAATTTGTGATTATATGGAGATCGTGAGATGCGGTCTGGTGTGACGTAGGTTTAGAAAAACATTTTCTTTATCGTGCCAACGTTTCGATCTTTTATGAGATCATTTTCACGGCCTGGCATTTATAAACATTTTTTAAATATACACAGAAATAAACACTTCGAGGAGTACGAACAGCTTGATTGAGTCTAAAATTTCTATCATTGTATAAATTCATTTTTTCACATCCTACATGTATTTGTATATTTAAACAACGTTTATAAATCCCAGGCCCTGAAGAGGATCTCAATAAAGATCGAAACGTTGACACGATTAAAAAAATGTTTTTCTAAACCTACGTCACACCAGACCGCATCTCACGATCTCCATATAATCATTAATTAACAGTCACTAAACACATATTAAATTTGTGGACACTTTCAGTGATGGAAATCAACCTCTAGGAATTTTTTTATAATGTGCTTAACGTATCCATAATTGGATTAAAGAATGGGGAGATATTGGACGTCTGCACTTTGGTTAGATAACTTTTACCGAGAGTACTCCTGCAGAAGGTTTTAGTATCTCTTCAGATATTAAGAGTAAACATTAAACAATTTACAGTATTTAAATCTCAAATGCTTCCTGTGCAAAATACAATTAAATATGAACTTTCTGAATTGGCGAACAAATGCCAAAACGATATTCGCAATATGCTTGCCCTCGACAGTAGCCCTCCATCTCACAATCAGACAAATTAAAACAAAACCGTATTTGCTTACATTTCAGGAGAATTGGAGGAATTTCATTTTAGCCATCCTTCGCCCTTTACAGTCAACACCGGCAAAGAAATGCATTCAAACCCTTAAGACCTGTCCGGGCCTCGCAACTTTCACCTAATCGAGATTGTTTTAATCTATATTACGAAATGACTAGATAGAATGATTTTATTGTGTTGAAAGAACTAGAATAAAATTTATTTTATGTTATTTTCTATTAATGGAAGAAACAAACTTCAACTCATATGTACCTAAAGAAATTCTTCACAAAACCAACGTAACTTAGAAAGTAATAAATGAACTGAAATACACAGTTTTATGTAGATATATATCAGCAATTTATATAAGAAATAAATAATCAGTTGATGAACACAATGCAACTCCTCGAAGATTCCATTTATCTGAAATATCTTCAATGTAATGGTTATATTCTATCACGTTGGGCGATATTCGTATAAAATTATAATAGTATAAATGCCAATCTTTAAAAATTAAATGGCAATGAACAAAAAATTGCTTTTCAATATAACTGATGATTGATGATACCGATAATAGATATAACGACATTCGTAAGGACATAAATAATTATATTTGTTAATGGTGCAGTATTCTTACTTGATTAAAATTGTCAACATTAATAAATATAACAGTGATAATAAGATGCGGCCAAAAATTCTGAATAATTGAAACTTTGATCATGCAGCAATGTTCAGAAGACTACAAATTATATATTATTTTATTGCTATACATTTTTCTGTTTATCCAATTGTTTTATAAAACATATATGATGTACTTAAATAATTGTTTTTTCTGTTTTAGATAAATGCAAGCTACATATCAAGAAGTCGCGTTAGTGGCAACAAATCCATGTCGAGGGCGGGCCTCGAATTTGAAGTAAATACCTTCAACTTGGGCAAGATGAATCTGACTTGTGTCGCCGATGTTTACGGCGTTTACAAGACAAAGTCGGAGATCATTTTGGATGAAGAAAGGCCGAGGCTGGCTTCAGTTCTAGGTTAGTAAACACGTCAAGCGGCATTACTAAACTTAAGATTAGCATTGGGCTTTGAAAGGAGAAGATAAAACTACGTTTAATGGACGAGAAAGAAGTTGTTGTTGCTTCTCTGTGCGTGTCGGAGTTTTAAAAAGAATCCGATTGAACAAAAGAAGTTTAGCCGACTTTCAAGAGAGTTCTTTTTGATTATGGCGTGTCACACTCATAATACAGAAGAAAACAAACTCCCTCGCAAAACTTGATAAAATATTTTCTTCCTTTTATTTATTTATTTTTCTATTCAGATAAAGCATTTTATTGTTATATATAATTGTTGTAATTGTTATATATAATATAATTATGCACAATGTTCACATTTGAGAAATAAAATAGCCTTGCGAGATTTCTCATCATATTGCTTCAAGCTTCATTCAGGTTCCAAACGGATCGATCCTTATGAACCAAAGATTCCAGTAGTTGAGAATGAGACGTTCAAAGGAGTCCATTCCTGATTACAACTCGAGATCGAAGATAATAGATCGACGATTCTCCTCGGCTATAGAGCACTTGTCCTACTCGAGTCAACAACGAAACCCATTGTCTCACATTCGACTTTCAGGGCTTGCAAGAGGTTCTAACATCCCTCTGACTCGCCATTATTCCTTCCCTCAGCTCAGTCTTTCTCCTTTACTCTAATGAGGGCTTTACAGTTCCCCTCTGTTAAAATTGGCTTCCCGTCCCACTCGGCCAATTTGTACCAATTCACTCTGAGGGATGCTGGTCCACTTCTAATAGACGATGGTATAAAAGAAATAGTTGTCTTCTTATTTTGCAGTGAACTATATCCTTAGATTTTCAGAATGACCAAATTCTTTGTGTAAAATATCGGTGCTAATTGGATCCCGAGACTTTAAAAATATAATTGTCTCAACATAAATATTACAAAGTATTTTCTCATTGTTTTATGCAATTTTTTTTCAATTCTTTTCTCAATCACGAATGTCACACTCATATCAGTAAGAAATTTTCTTACTTTTTGCCATTTGTAAATGAAATTCGGTTCAAGCAAGACTTTAGATAAACAGTATAATTTTTCAACAAATACAAATGTTTGTGTTTATGCAAAGAGAAAACTTTTCTTTGTATAAAGAAAAAATGTCAAAACATTGTCACATTTATAGGTTGTTACTGGATATCACATTTTTTTTAAATCATAGCTACGATTTTGTAGTATTCCAATAAAAATATAACAAAAAGATTGACTACAATAGAAAAAAAATATTGTGAAAATGGCACCAAAAAATTGTAATTTTTGGCATATAAATGGACAAATAAATCATCTAGAAAAGGGCGAAATGCAGTACGATTTTAAAGATGTAGCTTAAAACGCATGTACAGACTCTCAAGAAATAAAAATGCACTTAAGATTTAAATTTCATTTAGTATAATTATATATCAGTACATTATACTTATAAAAAAACCTACTGTTGCCATGAAAAACGGTCCTAACCTCGGAAAACCAAACAGTTAACTATGAGTTCAAAACTTGTGATTTAAGGCCAAAAAACTAACTTCAATTGCGATTTTAAGAACGATTAAATAATAAAAACAAATTGTGTTTGTGTTTTTTGTGGCATATTACGATGAAAAAACCGATATATGATTACGATGGTGTGTAGGTTTTTGCCCACTTGAGGGCACTCTCAACACGACACGCAAGAATGGCACAATTACACAGAAGACAAACACTTTGAGCCCTGAAGATGATCTCAATAAAGATTGAAACGTTGGCACGATAAAGAAAATGTCTTTCTAAAAACTACGTCACACGAGATCGCATATCACGATTTCCATATAATCATTAATTAACTGTCACTAAACACCACAAACGTAATATACTAACTTTATTTTTTTAATTTCTGTTAGCGTTTAAAAAATGATTTTAAAAAGAAATAAATTACAATTGAACCTTTCAAACAACACAAACCGTTTAGTTTAAACTTCACAATTACTTTTCGAAAGCAAAAGATTCTTCTTATTGAAAATGTTTTCTTTTTTTTCGTGTTAGAATAAGCAAGTATGATTTTCAGAAATGCAGTTTTACATTATAATAAAAAAATAAGTAAAATTTAAAATATTATTAGTAGGGAAGGAAATATTTAAAATGATAGATTGCATTTATCAACGTAAAAATGTGAAACGTATCGTTGGATTTTGATTTCACACAAATGTATTCTTGAATATTTTATCGCCCAAAAAAGGAATTGTAAATAAGATGAAAATCAATGGAAAGAAGTAAAAAAAAAATCTCAAAGGAAATGATAAAATAAGGAACAGTTTAATAAGGAATGAAGCCCAGTTGTTGGAAAAAAAAACGTATAAAGCCTTAGCTAAAGGCGGAAATGGAAGGGGCACTTGATGAGAACACCGATGGAAGATCAAAGGCAGAGATCATTACACTACATTTAAGAAGAAGAAAGCAGGAGAAAATAAGATTTGGAAGAAATGATAGGAGAAAACACCTGTTGCAAGGCAATCTAAACCTGCCCTGGCTGGTTAGCTTAAAACCTAAACCATAGCCAATCACATTATTTTAATTGTTCAAACTCTCAACAATTCAATTCTTTGAAAAATCAGTCATTAAGTCTTAATATGTTAATAAAAATTAAATTAAAATAAAATAACGTACAAATGTGCTTCGCATTGTGTTTAACTGGTAGAACTTTTGTTGCAGTTAATTAGTTAGACTGCACACAAATTGAGCTTTGATCTTGAAAATCAATTTTGTTCAAAGCATCTGCTATTATGGCGCATTGATTAAACCCAGTTCATTACAATCAAAACAAATAACTAGAATCAAGAAATGCTGGTTGGTTGGAAATTAACTGAAATTTTCAATACAAAACTGACCAATTCGATGATATATTCAAACATTGATGTAAAGAAAAAATCATTCAGTATTTCATTTTAATTAAATATTGACTATTAGTAAATATGCTATTACATAAATAGTTAAAGTTGGCCAACATGGTCGCGAAGAACGAGTCCGTATTAATAGTTTCAAAAGGTGTACTTCTAGGCTAAATCTTGAGCCCTTTAATTGCCTTGTTTATCTTTTGGAAGATACATGTTCAACACATATTAATATGAAACTCTTATTTACTCATTGTAAGTACAAAATGATGAGTTTTTGGTGTGACATATTTTGCATAGAACTGATATAATATGATTATTGAGATGATATAATATGAATAATAATTTAATTTATAATATGATATTAATAATTACAGTTCCGCTGTTAAAATGAACAACCCGATTTTCGGGTTCTCATTTTAGGGCCTACGAGAATTTTTGCAGCGTTTTAAAGCTTAATTCTTCTGATTGTTAAGGCTAAAGATAAAGATAAAGGTTTTTCAAAAATTCATTAGTTTTCGTGGTCCGCTTGACCAATTAATATCTTTCAATTAATTAAGGTTTTTAGTTGATAAAAATTTTTTTAAGTGTTTTGCAAAAAGACACCGGAGGGCCACAGAGAGCAGCAAAAAATCATTTCCAATTTTGAAAAAACTCTTGCATCAGGGGACCGAAATTTTAAACGAAAAACTAACATGACTATTTCACATAAAATGCTGTATCTTCTTTTTGCTCCCACATTTACTATTGAATACAGTAACAACAGATTACATAGAAAAGAAGTTGGGCAAAATAACAGTTCGAATACGCCAATAAATATAATATACTGAACGAAATTTACCACGTAGTCTTGGAAATATGAGAATGGTTTTTTCACACTGCCCGTTCCGTCTCGGACTTCATTATCTTCCAAAAATTGTTGGCATGCCAAAATGGTAAGGAAAGTTCAACGTCCTATAATACAGCGATTGGACATTCCCAGAGCGAGGACATGCTTACGTGTACCCAATTCATTAAATGCTATATGAGAAGAAATAAAGGCAGCCGAAGCAATAAACGAGATAAATTGAATTCGTATTAACAAAATGTATGGATGAAATTAAATTATAACTGTTCTTTGACATCATTCCATAAAACGAAAGTCTTCTTTGAATTAAACTGTTCGATTATTTATTTTGGTGTGTTTTTCATAAAATAGATGTATTCAGTAACGATTGATGAATAAATATGAATTATCTCAGGTTAAATATTATTTTGATTTACGTCAATCAACCTTAAAAAAAATATTTTTTAACAAGGCAGTAAAATTTTTATTTTATCTGTGTTTCTGACTCCATAAATGCAATGAACATTTATAAAAAGTATAACCTATCAGACGATGGAACAACAACTATTTAATTTTAAAAAATTCGTGCTAACAGTTGATTACTAAAGCAAAATCTTTAATTTAAATTCAACACAATGTAGTTCTTTTAGAAAGAAAATCCAAAGCAGGAAGGAAATCGTTGAAACATTTAGAAATAAAAAGAATTGGGGGGAAAGGAGAGCTACATTTCAAAGATTGTTTTACAGGAAGGCAAATTCAATTAAACAGTGGGAGGGCTGGAGGAAAGGAGGAATTTAAACAATGTATCGACTTGTAAAGCGAAAAGAGAATTGGCTATTAACAAGCAACAGCTGAATGTCTGGCCCTCCTGTATCAATTGGTTACCCTCCACCCGGAAGGGTACAAATGGGTGGAACTTCCCCTGAGAAAATTCATTACACGCACGATTAGATCTTGTCTTGTCAACCCGACTCCTTTCGAGGCTCATCACCGCCGTACCGGTTTGTAAAAATTATCGTTACCGTACACGCAGGACTTATTGAAAAAATAATAACGCTGATATCACAAGACAAACCTTTCCCACATAAAATATATTTGATCAATTAACCTCACTTTCCAAAAAATTATTTTCAATTTCAACGGCCTATGTTGAATAAATTAAAGTTTAAATCCTCTCATTTAATAGTTCTGTCCGGTTGAATGCTTCATATTCAGTTTAGGTTTGAGGTGTATGAAGTGTCTTAGTCCATAAAATAGGACTATTTTATTCCTAGTCGTATGGATTTTAGTTCACTATCTAGATTCACACGTTTTACTAGCTACCACAGGCTCAAAAGAGCTTCTCAATTATATTTATTGAATTCTAGTTGATAGTGATCGACCTNGGGTGAAGTACGTAA